TATATATATATATATATATATATATATATTTATATCCTTTATATAGTCTTGTCCCTAAATCAGATGAATCTAACGAAAAAAAGAAGCGGTCCAAGCGGAACGTCCAAGCCATGATTAGCGAAAGGAGCGGCTGAGTTTCGACCCTTGGTACGTATCTGAGAACATCTAAAAAAATAGATTCTTTGTATGTGATTTTATAGTTTTGTTTCTCTTATCAGATGGGCCCACCAAGAGATCAATCAGTGATTCATTAGGTCCTCAATTTGAATATAAACTCTACTCTTATTGATGACTACATTTTTGCGGCTTAAGGAATCCATGCCTGTTCAGCTTATTGGCATCTTTTAGTTATTTATACAATCTCGAGATACGACATAGAAGGCTTCATTTCTCCCATAAAACGTGTCTGCTTATGACCAGAAGAACGTAAAATATTGATGCCTATCATTTTGAAAGACCCACCTGAGTAGTTGCTGACTTATTGTTTTGCACTGATGAAAAGCCACTTTCTGGCTCAAGATTTTGATTCTTTGATTCCCAGATTTCTGCAGCTAAAATAAATCATTTTGTAGTAAGCACTTGTTTCTTTTATCCCCTCAGCCTCAGAATTTTGTCGATCTGTGTGAACTAATAATTTCAATGTGATGGTCACATGTAACCTGACAGCTGACCGGTTCAAACCTCATACTTCCATGGTAAAGGGGGTGTTTTTGAAAGCCAATTATTTGGTGGCGACTGAAGTAGCTTGGGCACATCTGGGCAAACTGAACTTTCTGATACGACCTTCAATCGGGAAATCATCTTGCTCTTTCTCAATGTGAAATATCTGTTTTTTTTCTTCTTTTCTAATGAAAAAGCAAGGGGGCGTGGGAATTTATGAGGCCTTACTCTATAAAATAAACCGTTTATAAATCGCAATCCAGGTTCTAGACCAACTTTTAAGAATCTGTAAGGCGAGGGAACTCAAGAGAAGAAGAATAATAGCTATCGTCTGTTGGTTGATAAAATGTGCCGAGCTCCCGTGATTCTTTGAGCCTAATTGGATCAATATTTTCTTTTTTATTCTTTTGTCAGTTTCTTTTGATAAGAATAAAAAAACGTGAATAAAATGACTCTGAGGATTCTCTGATTTCCCCAGATGGTATCATTCTCAATATTCGGAGTTCAGTTCCTTAAGTGCTTTACTTTTTCCAATCTGCGATTGAAAGTTACAGATGTAATCGTATGAAGCTCTATGATGATAAATAAAACTGAGTTGATTGTACTGCCTTGAAAATTATTCTGGTAATTTGAGTTCTGATAGATTTATTTGAGAAAAGGCATTAAATGATGAAATGTTATGTTGATCTTTTAAACAGCATAAAATCTGCAGCTAGTGTCACGCGGCCTGTTGGGGACATCACGGGACATATGGGTTATGCATGACTTTTTGATCACTACTTTTTCCAGAACTCTACTGGGGTTCTATCACACCGTTATGTACTTTAACTATAGGTCACGTGATAAGAACCCGTGAAACTTGAGAGAATATTCCATGAGATGTTCAAAGTGATATCTGACGGAACTCACAATAATAGAACGGCATATAGTCATATATGCGCTTACAGGGACCATCAGTTACACGACCCGTCTTCTTTCCTCGAAAATCACCAGCATTGTCAGTGGCGCTTTCCATTTTTTTTTTAAAAAAAACATCACATTATAGAGAGCCCCGGAACACAAACCACTAAAGAAATCTATAAAGAAAGAAGTTTTATTAGATCGTACCATTGAATCAGGCAAGAAGGCGCGAGCTCCAATATACGAGACCTCTGCCCATAACCAATGTCAATCACTTGAATAAAACTGACTATTTGTGATCGTCTCATAGGATATAATTCCTGAGGGCCCGTGACCATAGTTCATTTGACAAGGCGGCAAGACGTACATTTGTCTTTGCCTCCTGGTCACAAAGCAATTAAACCTTGCGAACGACTTTAACAAACCAAAAAGGCTTCGCTGATTATCAAAGGAAGTATTCAAAGAAGCTAGCATCTCCTTTAAGTGCATTGGAGCTTGAAAGCCGATCTTTTGCCACCAAAGGGCACAGTCTCACACTCATTGCAGAGGTGGGTTAGCTTCTGATTTTTTTTTTTCTGATTTTATTTTTTTTTTTGGTAGATTCATCTGATTAAAGGGGCAAAACTATATAACGAATATTGTTATAACAGCTGTTTAAACGCAAAAGAAGCCCCAAAAATTTTTTTTGGATATTACGTCACTGGGTTCTAAATATAAGTCTACTCCTCACTAGTCGAGACTAACATACAAGACGGTCTGTATAAAAACCAAACAACATTTTCTCACGGTTGCGGCCATACCATGCAGGAAGCACTGTTTCCCGTCCGATCAACGTTAGTTAAGCTGCATAGGGCCACACTGAGTAGTGTAGTGGGAGACCATATGCGAAATTGTGGTGCTGCAATCTTTTTTCTTGTGCCTGGCAAGAAATAGAAGCGAGGTTCCAAGATTTGCATATCCATATCTTTCTCTTATCTTTATCTTTATGATTCTTTATCTTCATCTTTATGATTCTTTATCTTCAAATATACTGTTGTCTTGATCAGATAATTGAGGGATAGAGAATGATGGGCTCTGTGAGGCTTGCGATGCAATCCTGCAGTTCCAATACCCACAATATGATCCCCTGGCGTTCCGCTGTTTTCTCCCAGGAGCTTCAGCTAAAGGCCACAGATTTGACTGTATACTACTTTACTTTTTATGACCTCGACAATAGTCACAATACTCTTGTCTCTCACCTCAAATATATATACCTGAGGAACTCCGTCTGCTCATTCTGCGGTACTCACCTATTGCAACACATAGGATTGTAGGAAAGTTCAGTCGATTTAAAATACTTGCGCATTTTTGAGAAAATTGTCCACCCTAAATACCGAACTCTCCAGAAATGACGCCGTTTCGGAGTCCAGAACAGAATCGACAGGTAGCTCATATAATAAATGCATGTTTGGCAACTGGTGCACCTGCGTAGCCGAGGTCACGTGCGCCGGCCTGGAGTCGCGTTCCGTCAGCGCTTGCAAAAAAAGACCCGTGGCTTGATCTCATGGTCTTCTATTAGACGCACTAGATAAAGTAGGTAGATTTTAGAATAGTTCCTCTCTCATGAAGGACAGCAAATTCGTCACGCTTGTGTGCTGTGTGCTTGGGCTCTACGCGCTGTTTCTCTCCTGGTCGCTTTTGCAAGAGCGCCTCAATACGAAACCGTATGCCTACGTGGAAGAACAGGCGGTCTTTTTCAAGGCGCCTCTTGCCATCAACGCCACGCAGGCCTTGTTTGCCGCACTCGTGGGCCTTGTGTATTCTAGGCTAGCACATGCGCAGAACCCGTTTGCTGTTTTTGCCTCCGAGCCAGATGCTGGCGGCAGGGCGGAAATAGACTATAGGTACGTGCGCTCATTTGCAACCATTGCCATCACGCTGAGCGTGTCTTCGCCGTTGGGCTACTTGTCGCTCAAGCACGTGGACTATCTTGCGTTTCTTTTGGCCAAGTCCTGCAAGTTGCTTCCTGTGATGTTGGTGCATTTGTTGCTCTATAAGACCAAGTTCCCCCCACACAAGTACATGGTGGCGGCGCTTGTGACGGGCGGCGTGGTGTTGTTCACCCTTGCCAAAAGCGGCGGCAAGAAGGCAGCGTCTTTCAACGACGGCAATACGCTTTTGGGCATGGCGCAGCTTCTTGCGCTGATGTTCCTCGATGGGTTCACCAACTCCACGCAGGACCAGTTGTTCCGGGCGCTGGGGCTGAAGAAGAAACTCACGGGCGCCACGGTGATGTGTGTGCTCAACAGCTTTGTGTTTGTGTTGACCACGGCGTGCTTGCTCCTGTTCAAGCTTGACGCGGAGGCAAAGTACGTTGTTTCGTTCGTGCAACAATACCCGCGTGCGTTGGCAGACATGGTGGCGTTTGCGCTTTTGGGCGCGGTGGGCCAGGTGTTTGTGTTTCTAATCTTGGAGAAGTTCGACTCGTTGATTCTCGTGACGGCCACCGTCACGCGCAAGATGATCAGCATGATTCTCAGCGTGGTGTTGTTCGGCCACCACTTGGTGTCGTGGCAGTGGCTCGGCGTGCTGATGGTGTTTGGCGGCATTGGCTACGAGAGCTTTGCGAAGATGCAGGGCCGGAAGACCCCGAAACCCAAGGCCGAGTAGAAGGGGCTGGACTTGGAACGGGATGGAATGGCGGCTGAAATGGCGGACGGGTAACGAGAAGTTGGTTGTGCTTTGTTTCTGAGCGGTTGTTGTGGTTTGTTTCTGAGCGGTTGTTGTGCTTTGCTTCTGAGCGGTTGTTGTGCTTTGCTTCTGAGCGGTTGTTGCGTTTATGTGTTTGAGCTGATGCTGTGTTTATGTGTCTGAGCTGGTGCTGTGCTGTGTGTCTGAGCTGATGGTATTTTGCTTGTTATGCATTGGAGAAATCATATAGCAGGAGGCTATGGTGGGAGCTTACTGCTCAGCATTGAAGTTTTGAACAAAAACAAAGAGCCAAGGTGCTTCCGCATAAATGACTAGATCATTCAAGTGGCCACAGGACAAGCCATCGGTGGTCCCGTCTCTTCATGTCCTACGATGGATGAAATTACTAGGGTGCACAGTCAGAGCTGGGACCATGAAACGGCAAGCCCGGTTCAACGCAGGCCGCCCACTGGGCCAGAGGTGGCGACGAGAGAAGCAAAAGATATCTCACGTCTCAGACTAAGAGATGCGGGTCTTGTTCTATTGCCGGTTGCAATTCGGTGAGCTGCGTGTTTTCCCAGCAGTGGTGCGAATGGGAGGAAGCCAAAAAGCCTTGGTGGCTTGCACAGGCCGGAACTACCGAGAAAGAAACAGCCACAAGATTGTCATCAATGTCCCGAAGCACGTGCTTGGTTGGAATCGCCCCGAGACCACCGGCCAGAGACATCCGGTGTTTTGCCTTTGGGCCGATCCTAATTTATCGTTGAACCCATACTTGGTTCATCCTTGGGTGTTTCCCTCATCGGCCGGCCTATGCTGAAGTAGGCTTTGACCCAATTCTTTTTTCATTCTAAGCTGACCCCGTCTCCAACGAAGTGCACCATTGGACTACACTGCGCCAGACTCTGGAATCATACGAACTTCATTTGCGGGCATATACGGAGCTCACCTAAAAACCTACCCTGAATCCTTACACCTGCACCGGCCATCTTGGGACCCATCCTGAAGTCAAACTGACACCTACACCGGCCATCCTCGGGCGCGGCCTAAATCCGAATTTACATCTGCACCGGTTCCATGGCCGGACATACCGAGTTCGAGCAGTCGCTACCAGCCGCACCTCTGTGCACCACGCGCAGCATGGGTATCTCCAGATCACCATACAACCGGCCCCGAAGTTCCATCTCCATGCTCATATCCCAGCCATCGATCATGTGCATGCACGGCGGCGCCCTCCAGAACATCATGGCCGCGTGCAACTGGCTCCTGGCGCTTTTCCCCAAGGTTTTTGTGACTACCGTGATGACATGGGCCGAATACGGCCTGGTGCTGGAACTTCACCGGTACCACGGCACGTCCCCGGTGTTTTTCGTGGCCGCGGCGCCGCTCGTGGCGCTCTATCTGCTCGCCACATACACGTATTTCCAGGTGATCCGGGTCGGCCCCGGGTCGCCGCGCGATTTCGCCGAGCTCGGCAAGGATCCACGCGATCAGCACGAGGAATCCCCTTCCGACAGCGAAACGGCACGTGAAACCGACCGGCTTGCGCAGGCCGAAGGCGGGCGTCTGCGGTTCCCGCCGCAGGAGTTCCTCGTGAGCCACCAGTTGCGCACCGGCGAGCCGGCGTTTCGCTGGTGCAACACCTGTGAAGTGTGGAAGCCCGACCGGTGCCACCACTGCTCCACGTGCCAGAAATGCTTCTTGCGCATGGACCACCACTGCCCGTGGTTCGCGTCGTGCATCGGCCACAACAACCACAAGTTGTTCATCCAGGACTTGGTGTACGTGGCGGCATTCAGCGGCGCGGTGTGCGTGGTCTCGCTGTGGCTGCTCTATGTGTTTTTTGCCGAGGCGCAGTACGAGAACCACCGGTACCTCTCGCTCAACGTGGTGTTTTTGTTTGTGGTGCTGCTCGTGTTTTTCCTTGCCGTGGGCTGCTTCGCCGTGTTCCTGGTGTACATGGTGCTCCGCAACTACACGACCATCGAGTTCCAGGACGCCAAGTGGGGCTATCAGGGCAAGCACGACGCGCAGTACGAGTTTGACGGCCGCGGCCAGAAAAAGGCGCTAGGCCACCTATACGACTTGGGCGCCGCGGCCAACTGGCGCGCCGTGATGGGCGACACCTGGGTGCAGTGGCTCTTGCCGGTGGGCGTGACCGACTCCTCCAGCGTGCACGCGGCGAAAAACGGCCTCAATTTCGAGGTCCGCGACGACGTGTTCCAGAAGTACCGCCACAACGCCCAGTTGCAGGAGCAATTGAATGCCCAGCTCGCCGACTACCGCGACCGAGTGCGGGGGAAGCGGCAGGCCCTGGGGGAGTAGTAGGTCTCGGGGAAGCGGGCTGATTCTTTTGGAAGTGAAAGAGGCCAATTCTTTTGGAAGAAGGGCTGATTCTGTTGGAAGTGAAACAGGCAGATTCTTTTGGAAGTGAAAAGGCCGATTCTATTGGCAGTGAACGAGGCCGATTCTTTTGGCAGTGATAGAGGCCGATTCTTTTGGCAGTGGAGAGGCCGATTCTTCTGGAAGTGAAAGAGTCTGATTCTTCTGG